GAATAGACACTAACAAAAAGAGTAGAACAAACCGAGTACTGGAGCACAAAACCACAGAGCACCTCTTTAGGCATAGCAAAAGCGTTGCTAAGATCATCAAGTGTAAGTGTCATACCCATACCAAGCATAGTAAGAGGAAGGCCAACACCGACCCATTTGGGAGTGACCCAATTATAAGCAGTTGGTCTTAATAGACCCAATAGGCAACCCAAAGATACCCATATGGGAAATGCTGTAGATATTACTTCACTAATCACTTCAATCCACTCCCTCAAACCCCTTTGGGAATTGGTACTCAAGTCGTTTGATGAAATGCCACACTGAACTTGGGTTGCTGATTTTCTACTTATTTTTGTCTTCAAAATGAGTGGCCAAATGGGTTTGTTTTGTGGGGTTTGTGGGCTTGGTTGAAGTTGAGATTGAAGTGTGAAGGCGAGTCCATGAGGTTTGATCCTTGCTGGATGGCTTGAAATAAGGCTTGTTTTTGGTTTGAGTACGAAATTGTTTGATGTTCCATGAGAGCATGAAAGCAATGACTGCATTTTGGCTTAGTCCACTCTTTCTTTTTCTCTCTGAGCGATTAGGATTAGTTCATTGAGGAGGCTGTTGGATTACATTTGTATACTGCGGAGATTTGTTCCACGCCATCAAGGGAAGGGATTGTGAATGATAATGGAGATCTCTCTTGCTTATTAATTAAGAACTGGGACATTGCCATTCTGTCATTGTCCTTGTCATTAGTTTAAAACCTTCTCGCGGAGTTAACAAAATAAATTATTAATCCTTGTAGTACGACAAATAGTTAAATATAGTCCTTTGACCAGATTCTCTCTGACAATTCAATTCAATTATGATGTTAAAAAGTGAATCTAAATAAGTCAAGTTCAAATGTTTAGAACAAAAATATTTCAACTAAATTCGACTCTTTTCTTCTTCTTTTTTTAATAGTTGGTTGTCCGTCCTATGTTGTGATTCAATCAAAACATATGAAATTATTTTTTAAACATATGAAATTATTTTAAAAAATAATTTCATATATTTTGCTTGAATCACAGAGCATAGGACGGACAACCAACTATTAAAAAAGAAGAAGAAAAGAGTCGAATTTAGTTGAAATATTTTTGTTCTAAACATCGTAACATATACTATACTTGAGGTCTTTTAAAATACATTGAATTAAAAATAAAATAAAAAACTATATAATTTTATAATTTATTTTTTCTTATGTTTTTCATAAATTTTGTATTTAAAAACATAATTTGTTATTTTTTATGTATTAATTTTTAAATAAAAACTTACAATATTCTAAATAGAATATTTAATCTAATTTTTTTAAAAAATACCTTAATATTTTATTTCATAAAATTGCATAAAAAATAAGCAACAATTAATATAAAAATTGTATAAAATTAATAAATGAATTTTTTTTTCATCCTTATTAATTTTGATGAGAAGATTATTTAAAAAATAAATATGTACATTTGATTTATATATATTTATTCACAAAATAATGAATAATATTAGTATAAAAAGTCGCATTTGAATCATTAGATGGTTCTCTTAAAACACTATTTTAATTATTTTATTTTAAAAAATTAATTTTAGAATGTTAAAAAAGTTAATAACAAATTGTTGATGTTATTTGTGTAGATGCATAGTTAGTTTCTAATAAAACCAATTATCTTAGTTATATATATATATATCTCAATGGGTTCGGAGTGTGCATATACTAAAAAAAATTAAAAATAAATTGCAAGAAATATATTAAAGTTAATATACTGAAATAAAAAACTACAAAATTAATTTCGATAAATTTTAATTATATAAAGAAAAAGCAAATAAAACCACTTTGAATTCAATTTTGTTGATTAATTTTTTCAAAAGATTTGAAATAAATTATCTAAAATATACTTTTAGCTTTTTAATACTCTCATTTAAAAATTATAAGAATCCATCATATGAATTATATCAATGTACAAAAAAGATTAAATAATGATATTCTAAAATTTTATTCAAAAATTAATACATAGATAAAAATAAATCATATTTATTAACAAATAAAATTATATAAAAAATATAAAACTAATTTAATGAAAATTTCTATAAGAAATGATAAATTAAAAAAATCAATTTTAAACAATAAGCGTAATATAATCTGATATAAATGTTCATTAAAAAAAGATAAATAATTATATTCAAAAATTCATACATAGATAAAAATAAATCATATTTATTAACTAAAAAATCATACAAAAATAAAAAATAATGATTTTATGAGAATTTTCATAAGAAACGAAAAATCAAAAAAATTAATTTTAAACAATAAGAGTAATATCATTTGATATATATATGTTTATTCTTAATTTTGAAAACATAACATATATATTTTATCATCGTCAATCCGTGTGAAAAATAAGAAAATAATAATGATTGATTTTCTATAATTTTTCCATTCATTTCAATAATATTTTTTAAAAACGGAGAAAAATAAAAAAGCATTTCATATATATATATATATCAAATCGATTTTTTTTTTTTTGATTTCAATCTATCTCTTTTAATTTTTTATGTTTTAAAATCACCATAAACACACTTTTCTCACCAAGATAAACAATATCAACCATAAAAGAGATTGAAATTAGAGCCAATCATGGCTTCTTTTTTGTATTTGAAACCAAATTGTAAGATAAATAAATTTGAAGACTAAAATAAAATTCTTGAAAACATCGGGAATCAAAGTGCAATATCAAGAAAAATCCGAATATAAATATCTAATGCAACCTAAAAATCACAAAAATATCATATGAATCTAAGTAAAAATAAATGAATAGTATTTTGTGAGGGTGGTAATAATGTAGTGAATGGTAAATAGTTCAAATCTTTTAGTGTTTTTTTTTTTTTTAATGTTACCACTCGTCCCTTTCATCATCGTTTTTTTAAAAAAAATTATAAATTTCCTCATAAACAAGAATACGTAAAAGCTAAAAATCACAACCAAGCGTACTAGATTTTGATGAAGAAATCTAAACACAACCAAGTAAAATATATTAAGATGACTCCTCCACAAGTTCATGATTTCACAAGCATAAATCACAATTTTGAGATTTTTTTTTCCTTAATTTTTATCTAGAAGCATAGATCCTTCTCTTCTTTTTGAAAATTACGAGTAGGTATTTTTTAGTTGTGAAAGAAAAAAGAAGATGAGAGGATCTAATGTATTGCCAAATTGTTGTGTTTTTTAGATGGGAAGGAAACAAAATAAAAATAAAATAAACTGGTGTGAGAGATAGGGTTTATGGGTTAGCTAGTGGGTATTTTTAAAATAAACATTTTAACTCAATTTTGTTGTGGTTTAGCATAGAAAATTAGAGAGTATCCCCTCTAATTTATTTTTTTGTACGAGTTGAGTAAATTGAATTTCATTTGGAATTCAAATCTATACCTTAAAAACCATTCCAAACATAAATTTAAATCATCCTCTAATATGTAAATATTCATCTAAAAAAAACACCTACAAAAAGAACTTTGGAATGTTTCGCTATTGTTTATGTGTCGCTAAGTTTAACAACAAATAACAAATGTTTGTCGTTTAATCAAAACATCTCAATTGATTGATAAAAATATATATTATTAAGATTTGGTTTTGGTGAAACAAATGAACTTGTTGTATATATAGATAGAGTAATAAGATTGTAGTTGTTTGGAAGGTTGAGGGATAGTTTTGTTAGGTAAAAATAAAAAATTAATAGCTAATTTTGAAAAAGCTTTTAAAAGAATATGGTGATTCAAAACTTGGAAGATTTTAGATAATTACTACTTAAAAAGGTTGAAGATAGAAAACATAAATCTAATTTTTACCAAACAATTTGTGTCTTGTTAAAGCTGAAAGGGAAAGAATGACTAGTGTATTGTAACTTTTAAGAAAGTTGAAAGGACCTTTACATTATTTACGTAAGTGAAAATAATTAATAATAATAACAATATGAACTATTATGTTATGATTGTGTTCCTTCTCCTTTGTAGAGTTGGAAAGGATGATGAATTGTTATTGGTGGGGTTTGAAAGGCAAGGATGATAAGCGTATTCATTGGATGAGTTGGGACGGATCGTGTATCGGGAAGAGACATGGTGGACTAAGATTTCGAAAGATGCATGATTTCAACATAGCTATGCTAGGTAAATAAGAATGATGACTTATCACTAACCCTAATTCACTAGTGTCTAGAATTTATAAAACTCGACATTACCCTCGAAGCTCTTTTCTAGAGGCGAGGGTGGGGAATAACCCGAGCTTCATATGGCGAAGCATCTAGGCTACTTAAGATTTGTTAAGAAAGGGATGCGGATGGAGGGTGGGTGATGGAAGGAGCATCTCCGGTGGAAGGACCCTTGGTTGATAGGCGATGCTCCCCTTATTTTCTCACGACTCGTAACGAGAATGGAGGATATGAGGGTGGTCGATCCGTTAAGCGATTGGATATTCGGAGACTTGAGAATTATTTCAATGATTGGGATAAAAGAAAAATCATGTCTTTCCCTCTAAGATTAAGAATAATAAAGGAGAAATGATATTGGTTGATAGGGTTTTCTTAGTGAAGAGCGCACACCAATTACAAACGAACTCTATGACTCTCAATCCAAACCAAGTGGAGGATTCGGTTTGGAGGAAAATCTAGTCTATGAAGATCCCTTTCAAGGTTCATAACTCTGATTTAAAGAGCAGTTCGTTGGATGTTTACCAACTTAGGATTGCTTGAGATCCAAAATGGTGGATGTGGAACTCGTATTGCCTAACCTACGGAGTTGAGATTGAGTCGGCGAGTGCATGCTTTAATTGATTGTCAAACTACCAAGAAATTTTTGCTATGATCATGTGTTGGGTATCTTGGAGCCAATACTCCTTTAAAGATTGGTTGTCTTTTATGTTTTCCAAGTGTACATTGCGAGCGGTGTAACCAAGATACTATGTTGATGTGGGTTATACGAAAGAGCAAGAGTACTCGGTGTGTGGCGGGGTAGTTTCCTTTTGACAAAGGCCATTTTACAACCGACCAGCTCGGTGTTAGAGGATTGGTGTAATGCCAAAGCTCGCAAGGTGGTTTTGAGGGATCACCATTCATTGTAATCCCCTCACAACCGAAGTCGCAAAAATTAGTTATTTGATGGTTAAAAGCTAACACGGATGCAACTATTTTTTATAAGAATAATAATTATAGTGTTGGTTATGTGGTTAGGGATACGGAAGGACGTTTTGTGGCTATAAGATCTTGTTTGTTTGTGGGCTTAGTGGATCCAAACATGGCTTAAATTATGGATATACATGAAGCACTCAACTGGTTAAAAGATTTGCAAACCAAGGTGGCTTAAATTATGGATGTATGTGAATCACTCAATTAAAAGATTTGCAAGCCCCTACCGTTGTAATTGAGGCCGATGCTTAAGCGATAATCAATTTAATTAATAGCCATGAGGAAGACGGATCAAGTTTTGGTTTGTTGGTTGATGATTATTGTCTTTCAAAGGAGTGTTATCCTAATTTGATGTTTATTTTTGTTAAAAGATCAAAAAATCGGGTGGCTCATAAGTTAGCTAAGTCATCTCTTTCTTTGTCCGATCTAGTGGAGTGACGTCCGTCTAATAGGCCTCTAATACGCTTCCAATATGCTAGGAGAAAAAGAATGGTCTAGTAGTAACTAACATAGGGAACCGACGTGCTTGAAGGCCTATCTATTACTTGCCTAACTTATGCTACTCGTCATTTATTTCTATTCTATTATGATTGCTTTTGGTTAGTTCCACCTAGAAGGATAAGGTGGCAAGGTTGTTAGGATACAACTTTATTGAATATATTAAGAGAATGAGTGAGGTGAGAGGGGCATGTTTTGTATGTTTGGTGTAGTGAGTATTGGGAGAGTAGGCACTTCTCGAATGTGCCATATTGGTTCATTATAAATAGATATTATTTACTATCGGTCAATCAACTTTCATTCCTCGTTCACTTACATTCTTACTGTTACATTAAGATTACATCATTTACATTGAGGTTTCATCATTTTGGTATTAAAGTGTGGTTATGTGATCCTTGGGAATGCCATCAATAAGAATGGAATCAAGAGCGGAAAACCTTGAAGAAAAATTCCCAAACCTTGAAAACCAATTGGCAAGCCTTGAATCTTCATTCAACCAAAAAATGGAAGAGGTCCCGAGCGCCATTCATAGAAGCACTCGCTTCGATAAGGAAGAATGTGGTTAAGTCCGGTAGGGATAAAGGGGTAACATCCATGGGTCGGGGAATAAAGGAGATACCATTGGTGGAAGAAATGACCACTTGCCCACCTATCACTCTAAATACGAAAAGAATATAGAGATGCTAACTTTTAATGAGGAGGATGATCCAACACCTTGGGTATTTAAGGTGGAATGGTACTTTATGGTGAGTAGGCTGATTGACTTAGAGAAATTGAAAACTACGGGAGTGTGCCTTAAGGGATCGGCCTTGGCTTGGCTGTATGGCGGGAGAACCGTTGTCCCTACTCCATATAAGGGAGCTAAAAACCTAACTACTGCGTCCCTTCTTACCAAAACGAAAAGGGACCCAACAATAATATCTCTTATCATTGTGATAAACATCCACAATAATCCAATACCAAAAGAATTTTGAAACCCTATCAATACCCCTAAAACACTTAGATGATGACACTCTAAGTGGCGGTGTTCATCAACGGATTGGAAGAGAAGGTGAGAGGGAAGCTACCGAAATTAAGTTGCAGCGAGTTTGTTGGAGGTAATGGAATTGGCAAATAGAATTGAAAAAGGAAACCTTATCATGTGGCCAGCCCAAGAACCTAAGCCCATCAAAACCATGAAGAAAGCCCATACCACCTAAAACCCCATAAACAACTTGAGCCCATACCAATACACCACATAGACTTTTCTCGACCGAGCCCAAAACACACTTAACCTTATAAACACGAACCCAACCCACAAGCTAGAACATAAACCTTTATACCCTCATTTCAAACGTATGATTATAGCTAAAATTCAATCACGGAGGGAGAGAGGGTTGTGCTTTAAATGTGATGAGAAATACCATGTGGGGGCATCGATGTAAAAAAATACGAGTTGAACATCATGACGAGTTCTAGACGATGAGAAAAAGATCGAACACCCAAGAGGAGGGGGAAAGAAAGGAAGAAGTACTTCTTCAAGTTGGGGAAGTCCAGCTCTCCATTAACTCTTTCATAGGGCTTATGTCTCCCCACACCATGAGGCCGAAAGGAGAGATAAGGGGAATGGAGGTAGTGGTCCTTATTGATTGTGGGGCAACTCATAATTTCATTAATGAGGAATTGGGTCGGTAGTTGGGTATCCCCGTTAAGGAGATAGTTGGTTATAGGGTTGCTTTGGGTACTTAGAGCGTTGGTGCCGGGGAAGGGAATTTGCAAGAGGGTTAGGTCGAAGTTACGGGAGGTTTTAATTGTGGAGGACTTTTTGCCATTCGACATTGGGAGCTCAAATCTCATACTAGGACTCAAGTGGTTATTCTTGGTCCGTCATATAGAGTTTAATTGCATTTAAAATCCCCGTAAGAGGGAAGCTAATGGTTCTTTAAGGAGACCCCAACTTGAGCAAATCCTTGGTATCATTGAAGACCATGCTCAAGACCATACGAGTAGGAGGGGCAAGGAGTATTAGTGAAGCTGGGTTGTATGACATTTCGGGAAGAGGAACAAGGAGGATTGATCTCGGAAGAGATACAAGGAGTCATCAATGAATTTCGGAGAGTATTTGAATGACCCAATGAATTACCACCGTGAAGAGAAAAAATTCATGAGATAAACCTTCAACACGGTATCGCTCTTATTGATGTGAGACCATATCGATACTTATATGTATAAAAGGATGAGATTGAGAAACTATCGGGTGAAATATTAGAATCGGAGATTATACGGTCGAGTGTGAGCCCCTTCCTAGTCCAATACCGTTGGTAAAGAAAAAAGATAGTGGTTGAAGATTTTACATCGACTATCAAACACCGAACAAGGTAACGGTTCTCGATCGCTTTCCTATTCCTACTATAGATAAGCTCTTTGATGAGTTATAAGGAGCTTGTTTATTTTAGAAGCCTGGACCTTAAGTCCGGGTACCACTAGATTCGGGTGAAGAAGCGAGGATGTGCCAAAGATAGTTTTTCGAACTCACGAGGGACATTACGAATTCTTAGTAATGCTATTTGGTCTAACAAAGGCACCAACCATTTTTCAATCGAGTCATGAACTCCATTTTCAAATCGATGTTAAGGAGAAAGATGTTAATGTTCTTCAATGACATACCGATGTATAGTTCATCTTTGGAGCAACATAAACAACACTTAAGGGAGTTATCAACTCTCCAAGTTCACCATTTGTTTGCTAATTTGAAAAAATACAACTTCGTTAAAACAAGATCGAATACTTAAGGCATATAATAATGGTCGAGGGGATGTAAACCGACCACGAAAAAATTAAGGTTATAGCATAGTGGCCGGTTCCAAAGAGGTTGAAAGAATTGTGAGGCTTTTTAGGCCTCACTAGCTATTATCGTTAGTTTGTCAAAGATTATGGTAAGATAGCTGCACCATAGGCTGAGTTACTGAAAAAGGATGCATTTAAATGGAGAAATGAAGCTACCACAACAATCCAAAAGTTGAAGCAAGCAATGATGGACATTCCTTCCTTATCACTATCGAATTTTAGGGAGAGGTTTATTATTGAGATGGATGCATCGAGTATTGGAATAGGGGCGGTTTTAATGTAAAACAACCGATCACTAGCATATTACGATCAAGCTCTTAAAGAGCGAGCCCAATTGAAATCGATCTATGAACGAGAACTTATGGCCACGAGTGTTTGTAGTGCAAAAATGGCGACACTATCTCGCCGAGGTGAAGGTTTTTAGTTAAGACGGATCAAAGGAGCCTCAAGCATCTTCTTGAATAGTGATTGGTGTCGGAGGAGCATCGAAGTGGTTAACCAAGTTGTTGGGTTTTGATTTCAAGATTGAGTATAAGCCAAGAATGAAAAATAAGGCCGCAAACATCTTATCATGGTCGTCAACCCTCTTGAACCTAATTATGGCTTAATGTTTTGAGGTGGAGAAGTTGGTTCGGGAAGTGGACAACGACTCAAAATTGGTAGCCATCAAATTAGCATTGCGAGTAGGACCACGACGAGTAAGCCCGAGTGGGGTGTGGTACAAGGGAAACTTTGATACAAGAATTGCTTAGTAATCTCCCCAACTTCTCCCTTATTGCTAGCAGTGTTAGCCGAGTTCCATGGCAACTTAGTAGGGGGACATGTTGGGTTTTTAAAGACATATAAACGGCTCATGGATGAGCTATATTGGGAAGATATGAAGGGTGACATTAAGAAATATGTGGAGGAATGTCATGTTTGTTAGCAAAATAAGAGCTCCGCCTTATCCCCTGCAAGTCTGCTGCGACCACTTCCGATTCCAAAATAGGTCTAGGATGATGTGTTAATTGATTTTATTAAAGGGTTGCCCAAGTCAACGGGGTTCAATGCTATGTTGGTCGTGGTGGATCGTTTCAATAAATATGCTCACTTTGTGGCCTTAAAACACTTGTTCTCAACTATTAGAGTCATTGAAGTATTCATGCAACACATCGTCAAATTATATGGGTTTCCCAAGTCGATTGTGTTGGATCATGATAAGGTCTTTATGAATACTTTCTAGACTAAATTGTTTCGCTTCCAACGATCCACTTGAAACGGAGCACCACCTACCATCCCCAAATAGATGGTCGGACCGAGGTCGTCATCGGTGCCTTGAGAACTACTTGCACTATTTTGTCTAGACCTAACCTAAAACTTGGAGTTGCTAGCTGTCTTGGTGTGAATATTGGTATAATACAGACCTTCCACACGTTCACTAAGCTCACCCCATTCAAAGTGGTGACCTACCACCTCTGCTACCCTTTACCAACCACGAACGTTCAATTCGTGGTGGAGGAATAGTTATAGGCTAAAGATTTGATGCTTAAACAAATGAAGGAACAACTACGACTAACCTAGCTACGCATGAAAAAGCGAGACGGACCAACACTGCGTGGTGTGCACTTTCGGGTGGGAGACTTGGTATATTTGAAACTTCGAGCTTATCGAAGTAAGTCATTGGCTAGGAAAATGAATGAGAAACTGTCCCCCGTTATTTTGGTCCCTACCCAATTATCCACAAAATTAGGATCATGGCTTATAGACTTGCTCTGCTCGAATAAGCTCGCATTCACCTCGTATTTCATGTCTCTCAATTAAAGGCTATTATTAGAGTGGACAAAACGTGACAAGAACTTTCCCCATTTTACAAGATGATTTGGAATGGAAGGTGGAACCGGAGGCGAGTCTTGGATACACGAGTGTAAAGGGGAAGCAATGGGGATACCGAGGTGTTAATTAAATGGATGAGGTTGCTCGACTTTGAAGCCTCTTGGGAGCCATATCACAATGTTGCTCAATAATTTCCCTCTTTCCACCTTGCGTACAAGGTGAAGCTCATAGGTGGAGGTATTGATAGGCCTCCGGTATGCTTCCGGTATGCTTAGGAGAAAGAAGAATGGTCCAACGAAGCAACTAACACAGGGAACTAACGTGCTTGAAAGTACATCTACTATCGCCCAAGTTATGCCACTACCATTTATTTCTATTCTACTATGATGTTTGTTTTTGGTTAGTTTCATCTAGAAGGATAAGGTGGCAAGGTTGTTAGGATACAACTTTATTGAATATATTAAGAGAATGAGTGAGGTGAGAGGAGCATGTTTTGTATGTTTGGTGTAATGAGTATTAAGAGAGTAGACACCTCTTAAATGTGCCTTATTAGTTTATTGTAAATAGATATTATTTACAATCAATCAATCAACTTTCATTCCTCATTCACTTACATTCTTACTCGTTACATTAAGATTACATCATTTACATTGAGGTTGCATCACTCGTCCCTCCATAGTTTTTGATGCAACATTCGGTAATGAAATTCTATGTTTGGTTTAAATAAATAAATAATACTACGAACCGTTATGTGCATTAGATCGACACGCTTAAGACACCAATATATATCCGACCAACACACCATCAATCGTGACTTGGTAAATGCCCTTTCTCTCGCATGAAAATACCAAGGATAGTCATCACACAATGACCTTAAAATTATTGAATGTTGGATTTTGTTTTTCAACCACTACAACAAAAATGATATTTAGTGATGGATATTTAACGACGATCAACAAACCGTCGCTAAATACCTAGATTAGCAATAATTTTTCACACTTTAGCAACGGTCTAAAAAATGATTACAAAAATTAAATTTTGTGATGGTTTTTTAGCAACGGTCCACATATCCATTGCTAATGTTATAGGCTAACCATTTTAGCGATGGTTTATATATTTAAGGAAATCATTACAAGTTTAGCAACGGTCTAAACCGTTGCTAAACCATTGGTAAGTGTTATTTAATATTTTTTCAACGGTTTTATAAAAAAAAAACCCTAAATAAAAAATAAATTTAGCAACGGTCACAGATCGTCGTTATTCCGTTACCAAAAAGAAAATTAGCAACGGTTT